TGTGTGTGTGTGTGTGTGTGTGTGTGTGTGTGTGTGTGTGCATGAAGACAACAGAAAACGAAGCGACGGAGACTCAAAGTGAGCAGAAATACACAAAACATGAACAAAAGGAGACAAGATGAGAAAAAAGGCAAATAATCACAATAAGGAGGCAAAGACAAGGACACACAACATGACACCGAAGACTCACAAAACAACCAGGAAATGACCCCAAATGACAACAAAGAGACACAAACTGCAGCTTGTGTTAAATCAATGACTGGGTCGTGAACTACGACTCCCAGGATGCACTTCAGCCACACAGGAGGTCATGGAGCTGACGGCTGAGTTAAAAGAAGGAATAAGTCTCTTTGTGTTCATCTTTGTCTCTTTCTGTGTATTTTGCGTCTCTTTGTACGTTTCGTGTTGGTTTTTCTTCGTTCCGTGTCCACGCAGCGTTTTACGACCAAACCCGACAGGTGAAACGATGGAAGGTTTGTCTGTGAGGAGGACGACACGACGACAGAACAGGAAACATGAAACTAGCCTCCGTGGAGCTCAGTGTGGAGGCTGTGGGCTGGTTCATTCATCAGTCCAGTCGGACCAGCTCACGGCTCAGGCTCGGTGCAGCCACGTCAGCCTTTAACGCAGCATTCTCACCTTGTTTTATTGGTATTTCATTATGAGGCTGCTGCTGGTTTCTGTGCTGCAGGTTCAGTTCTGTCGGGACAACGGCGCCACCCGGAGGCTCACGTCTGTCACTGCAGCCGACACACTGCACAGTCCTTCAGCAGCGCTCAGTACAATGTCTGTTCTTGTAGAATTTACACCTGGTGTTTATAATATTTTGTAAAGAAATGCGGCTAATTAAAGGTAGCTCTGTTTCTCTAATTAGCTGCTCCTCATTTGTTTTTGTAATTTTGCCATCGTGGTCACATGACATTGACGCTCAAATTATTGTACAAATGGTTAAAGTGGATATTAAAAGTATTGGTTAAACTGCAAAACGTGTATAAATGGTTTAAATCTTTCCCAGTAGTGGACAAACTGGTGAACTGGTTCACTGAAACTTTAGAGTAAATGTTTAAAATGCAGATTAAAATAACAGTTAAAAGCTAAAAGTAAATGGATTGACATGAACAACAACGACAGACAAATTGTTCTGATAGTTGCCCACGTGTAGTCAGTAGCGACCCAACCGCGGCTAACGGTAGCGGCTAACGGGAGCGGCTAAATAGTTTTGAATCTGAAAATCTGAATAAACAGTTAAAGCAGTTAGCACGATGAGGAACGCCTGAATAAATGACAGACAGCTAACATAACTGATAGGCTGCTAGCTCAAAGTAATGGCTAGCTGCTAAAAACAAAAGTAGCTTCATATCGCTAGCTTAAACTAGCCAGGAAATTAAACAGACAGCTAATTGTTCGATAGCTATGGCAACACGAATACAAAATAGTTTCATGGACACAAGAAAAGAAACTAGTGGCTAAAGGTGGCAACAGATAGCATTGTTAGCTAAATGTAGCTAATGGCTAACTGCTAACTGGTGGAAAAAATAGCATTAGCAGCTAAAAATGCAAGATATAGGATTAAAGTAGCTTAGAAAAATCAGTTATTACAATGGATAGCTAAACATTGCCTAGCTAAGGTAACAAATACACAAAACAGCTAGCTAAACGCAGAGGAGAGGCAATAAAACATTCAAAGGTAGCAACTGATGACAGTTAGCTAAAAGTAGCTAATAGTTAGCTGCTAAATGGTCAAAAAACGGCACTAGCAGCTAAAATGAGTGGATAAATGATTAAAATAACTTTTAAAAAAGTTGTTAAAGCAGTTATCTAGCATTAAAGGATAGAAAACCTCGGTAGCTCAAAGTGGGGAAAAGCTAAAACTTAGTGTTTAAAACGACGGATTACTGCAAAAAAAATAAATAAATAAATAAAACAAATACACAAAATCCCTTAATTTAGTGGACGAAACAAAAGAAACGCTGAAAGTAGTGGCTAAAGGTGACAACAGATAGCATTGTTAGCTAAATATAGCTAATGGCTAGTTGTTAAATGGTGAAAAAAATAGCATTTGCAGCTAAAAATACAAGATATAGGATTAAAGTAACAACAAAATAGTTATTAGAGACACCAAAGAAATAATAGATAGACAGCTAGCAAACAACAATCAGCTAATTGTAAGCCAACTGTTTTGTCAGCTAAAAGTAGTGGGAAAATGTGGAAAATCTAAACATTAGCAGCAGCTGTGAAGCTTATTTACCTGTCGGTATAACAAATAGATGTATAATTATATATGTGATCTAAAGATGGCTAAAATAAATAGCTAACGTGTAGTAGGGAAACTGCTGGGTCAAAGAAACGGTTTAGCTAAATGGTTAAATATAACCGCGTAATATGGCTAGCTTAGAAAAGTCAGCTATTAAAATGGATAGCTAAACATTGCATAGCTAAGGTAACAAATACAGAAAACAGCTAGCTAAAAGCAGAGGAGGAGAGGCAAAAAAATTCGAAGGTAGCAACTGATGACATTGTTAGCTAAAAGTTGCTAATAGTTAGCTGTTAAATTGTCAAAAAACGGCACTAGCAGCTAAAATGAGTGGATAAATGATTGAAATAAGTAAAAATAGTTAATAAAGATGACAGAGTTACGACATAGGTAGTTAAAGTCGCTATCTAGCATTAATGGATTGAAAACCTCGGTAGCTCAAAGTGGAGAAAAGCGAAAATTTAGCATTTAAAACTTCCGAAAAATTTCAAAAATAAACAAAATCATTTAATTTAGTGGGCAAAGGGAATGAAACGCGAGAAGTAGTGGCTAAATAAGTATAAATAAGTAATAGTAGTTAGCTGTTATGATGAAAACAAATAGCATTAGCAATTAAAATTAGGGGATAAACTGTTTAGCTAACTAGCTAGTGATGTTTAGCTGCTGAATATGGAAGAAGACTAGCATGGCTAGCTTAAAGAAGTCAAGAAATTAAACAGATAGCTAAATGTTTGATAGCTTTGACAACGAATACCTGAAATAGTTAGCTTAATGTCTTGGAGAAACGTAGGAAAATGGAAAAAAAAATTTCATTAGCAGCTAAAAGAGTTAATAAAGACGGTATAAAGTTACAGTTAGTGAACAATAATGGATGAATGGTTCAAACATCGACACACTGAGAGATGAAGAGCTGGAATGGTAACGTCTTTGTTTTATTGTTCCAGGTAGATGATGATTGTGTGCTAACTGTGCTAATGGGAAAATGCTAAAGTCTGCTAGCATCATGAACACAGTGCTGACTGGTCCAGAAGGTGGGTCCAGATCAAACCAGGATCAGCTGTTGTCTTCTTTACCACTGGAGCTGGTTTCTTATTGAACGGCGCCCCCTGCAGGCCTGAGGAGGGCTCGAGGTGGGAGGAGACAGACCCAACGAGGAAGGAGACGAGTCGCCCATCAGAGGAAACATGAACGACCTGGAAGTACCAAAACCCGGCAGCTTGTCCAAGTCTCTACACTGAACCTCTGCTGCTTCAGGCTCCACAAACTCATGCTCAGGTACCGACTAGAACCCCCGGACGGACCTGCTGGGTCAGCTCAGCCTCTAGTCCCTCAGAGGGTCGGCTCGGTTCAGCCTCTAGTCCCTCAGAGGGTCGGCTNGGTTCAGCCGGCGGCTGCTCGTCTAGACTCGGAGGACTTCCTGCTCTGAACTCGACAAACCGGTGCGACAGGAAAACTCCCCCACGAGTCGCTGAGCGGCTGTGAGTCAGAGCAGGTCGCTGAGAGACGACACGAGGACACGGCGGCGGCAGGTTGTGTTCATGTTGTGTGTCTGTTTGTGGTCACGCCAAGTCTTTTCCTGCTCGTTTCGTGTCTCTTTCTAGTCATTTTTAGTCGCTTTTTGGTCGCTTCGTGTCTCCTTTTCTTTATATTTTTGCTCTTTTTGCTCATTTCTGTCTTTTTATGCCCATTTGTGTTCGTTTTGTGTCACTATCTTGTGGGTCTGAATCTATTTTTGTGTCTTTTTCTGCTCGTTTTGTGGTTTTTGTGCATTTTGTGTCTCACTGGATTCCATTTGTGAGTCTTTATCTTGGTTTTGTGTCTTTCTGGTCGTTCTGAGTCTCTTGTTCTCGTCTGATTGGACCTGTTGTGTCTCTTCTGGTTCATGTTAATTGTTTTGTGTCTTTTTTTAGGATGTTTTTTATTATTTCGCACCTCTTTGTCTTTATTTGTCGTCTTTTTTGTTCCTTTCTGTCGCTTTGTGATGCTTTTGTGTGTCTGTTGTGTGTCAGCGCTCAGTTTGTGTTGCTTCTTGTTCATTTTGTGAATTTCTGTCTCCTTTTGGTCTTTTTATTCATTTTGAGTCTGTTTGTCTTGTTTGTGTGTCCCTCTGTTCATCTTGTGGGTCACTTTGGTTGTCTTGTGTATGTTTGTGTGTCTCTGGTTATTTTTTCCTCTTTGTCTTCGTCTAACGTCGTGTTTTTGCTGCTTTCTGTCTCTCTTTCGTCTCTGGTTTGTCCGTCTCGTGTCTCCTCGTCGTCGTGTTTTGCTCTCGACCTTCTTCTTCTTCTTCTTCTTCTTCTTCTGCTGCAGCGGGTTCGTGACTCACACAGGAAGTGGTCGTCCCACTTCCTGTCAGCGACTTCCTGTCACAGCGTTTAACCGCATGCGAGCAGCCGCGTGTTCGTCGGTTCGTCACTTCTCACTTAATTACATGTTTGGAGACTCATCAGCAGGTCGCTGTGAGCAGAGTTCATCTGCTGGTTTCAGTTTGTTCACTTTGTGCTGAGTTTTGTCTCTTTTTTGTTTTATTTGTTTTATTTTCTCCTTATTTTTGTTCTTTTTTGTCTCTTTTGTTGTTCTTTTGATTTTTGCTCCTTTTTGTCATTTCGTGTCTCTTTCTCGTCATTTTTTGTCTGTTTTTGGTTAATTTTTCCTCTTATTGCTCATTCTTGTGTCTTGTTTTTCTCTTTTTTTTTCAATTTGTGTTGTTTTTTTGCTAATTTCGTGTCTCTTTGTGTTTCTTTTGTTTATCTTGTGTTTATTGTTGGTGGATTTTGGCTCTTTTTGCTCATTTTTTCTGTTATTGACCATTTTGCGTCTTTAATTCATCTTTTTTGCTCATGTTGTGTCTGTTTTTATTCGTTTTCTGACTCTTTTTGGTCGCTTTTAGTTCACTTTGTGTCTCTTTCTGGTGGTTTTTTCTGTGTTTTCGCTCATTTCGCATCACTTTTCATTCGTGTCGTGTCTTTTGCTAACTTTCTGTCTTTCAGTCTGTTTCGTGTCCTCTGCTGGTGGGTTTTGTGCGTTTGTGTTGGTTTTGTTCGTTGTGTGCTGTGAAGCTGCTGCCTGCTGGACCACAGAGGAGAAGTCGTGTCTTTTATTGGACAGATCCGTCGTCAGGTTGAGCTCTGATCGAACCGTCGGTTTGTGGCTGGAAGCCGTGAAGCTGCTGCCTGCTGACAAACATCTGGAGGCTCACAGCTGCTTTCACAGGAAGCCTCCGAACTCCAGACGGTTTGATTTCCTCACGTCTCATTTTCCTTCAACGTGGTTCGCTTTAAAAAGTCCTGCAGCTCTGTGGAGGCAGAACAACAGGAAGTCAGAGAAACAGGAAGTTGGAGCAACAGGAAGTCGGAGCAACAGGAAGTCGGAGAAACAGGAAGTCAGAGAAACAGGAAGTCGAGCAACAGGGAGTCGGAGCAACAGGAAGTCGGAAGAACAGGGAGTCGGAACAACAGGAAGTCGGAGCAACAGGAAGTTGGAGCAACAGGAAGTCGGAACAACAGGAAGTCGGAGCAACAGGAAGTCAGAGAAACAGGAAGTCGAGCAACAGGGAGTCGGAGCAACAGGACATCGGAACACCAGGGAGTCAGAGA